ACAGTAATCCAAAGTATAATTAAATATACACGACCCAGTGAAAGAACACTAATATATTCGTTGCCCAGTGGCAGGCTAAATAGGCTGGATGGAGCCTATGGATATCTTGTAAACCGTAAGTGATACAAAGTCGCTTAAATGGTCAAAGTTATGCAGAATTTATGCTGATTAATTTTCGCTTTCAAAGTCTCTTGTAGCTTTACACATAGCGTAGTTATGGAAAACAAGTTGTAAATCAGCATATGCATGATTAAAGCGCATTTTTGGTAATACAGGTCAGTATTTGATTAGCGAAGTTTAAAATTATCGATCTCACGAGTAATTTTGGCTGCGTTAAATAATTAATTTTATTTAATTTCAATTGACGGTACGTCTTCATTTTGTAAAACAAATCGCAAAGTAAATAATAAGTTTTTATACTGGTAGCGCTAACGGTAAAATTATAGTACCTCCGAAACCCATATCGAAATTATTTTCTTCAATTATCGATCTCACAAGTAATCTAACTCAAAATAGACTAGTGCCTGCACATCTACACTATAGCAGAAAGCTTTTTGTGAAAATTTGAATTCTCTAGCTATTGTAGTTGTGGAGATCTAACGCGGACAGCCGGCCTGCCAGCAATGACGAACATAATAGCGTATTTTTTTCAAAAATGCGCTAAAAACCGAAAAATGTAATTTCCGGGAACTGCATTGATTATAAGAAGGTATAGTAGATGGCGCTGTGTTTGAAGATCGACACACACAGGAAAAATATAAAACGGCACAAAATTTGAAAAATATAAATATAAATCAAACGATATCACGCTTGGATCTTTAAAATTGACAGCTAATGACAGTTCGACAGTTTAGTTCGTAACGAAAACTTCTAACAGACAAAATTCGTCACTCGTTTTATTTTTAGGGTAATACTGACTCGTGTTTTAACCAATCACAGCGAAGGTCAAACTGTCCCTATGCTTTCTACCGCTACCTTCTTAAAATGAATAGCGTATAGCATTCATTTATGTTCAAAGATATCAAAAAATAATTTTAACAAACCCTTAGTGATGTTTTTATGAGCTTTCTGATGTTGCTAAAATCAAACTTTTATGACTTGTGGGTTTCAAGTCAATCACATCAACTTTCTTATTCCTTATGGGTGCCATATTCGAGTACACTGCCTAGATAGAGAAAAAATTACAAAATCGGAAATGCCAAATACTTGATGTTGGAAATTAATCCTGAATATGTTTACCATGTATTTCTTATGGTCATAATTCTATGACCGTGTTGATGGAGATTGGAGACAATGCCAATAATATGCCAATAAACGAAAAATGCTAAATAATTTTAATAGTCCAGGAAATAGAGACTGAAAATGGACCATTTCCTGCAAAACGAAAAGTAGTTCCAATTTTTTTTGCATGTCATGAAAGAATATCTGGTGGTTAAGAATCCAAGTTTTCGACCTCCCACCCCTTGTGCTTCCCCCGCACCACCCTTAAAACCAAAGAAATTTGGTTGGTTTTTTAGTTTTTCAATCATATCTTTTTATAGATTCATTTTACAAAAAAATATTGTTATCAGAAATTGTAGATTATAAAATTCTACACAACTTTGATATACACTACTTTATTGTGAAATGTTTATTAAAAAAGATATAGAGCTTGAGAGTTGGTTATATTTTTAAGAATTCTGAAATTTCTATGTAGATGTTTTAACAAAAATTTTAAACTTTATCTCTATATTTAAGAGTTTTATGAGAAAATATCTTGAACTTATCGTGGCATAAAATCCCCTACGCTGCACCCTTACCGAAGGGGATGCATAATAATTCAACTTTCAACCCTTGCTAGTGGGGATATTTGAATCACTGTGAGATTGTAGAGCTTTCTAATATACGTTTGAAACAAAAAAAATTATATCACTTCAGTTCAGCTTCATCCTTAAAAGCCTTCATTTCATGGGTTTTGGGGATGGTACGAGGGAAGCACAAGGGGTGGGAGGTCGAAAACTTAGATTCTTAACCACCAGATGACTGTCTATGACATGCAAAAGAAATTGGAACTACTTCTCATTTTGCAAGTTAAAACCCTCTATTCCCTGGACTATAAGCAAACCATGGAATTATTGCTATAAGAAATTGTAAAGTTTAATGCAAAAATTCAAGATTAATTTCCCAATGAAATGCTAAGTAATTGGTATCTCCGATTTTGTAATTTTTAGCTTCCTAGCATGAGCTAGGTAGGTATTGCGATCAGCGTTTGGATCAAAATTTCATCAAATGTTGATGTTTTACATCATTTTTAGCAACTTTCAAGGAATAAAATTTCTACTGTCTTGTTCCAAAAAACAACTCAAAATTTCGAAAGGTTAAAGGTATTCAAAAGACCTTATTTTTCTGTGTATTACCATTGAATAAGTACTACTTATTCTGTATTACCTACAACAATTGTGCCAGGTTTTATTACAAATAAACTGAGAAAAAAATGTCAAAGTTAAAAACTAAATTTTTTTTTAGCAAAACTAAATTAATTCTAATTAGGAATTACAATTATTAATTATGCAGGTACGGGCAACCCACGGCCAACGGACCTAATCCGGCCCGCCGATAAGTTTTTCCGGCCCGCGAACATAATTCATAGTTAATACTTCATACGGCTCGCCAAGTTACATTAAAAATTCGAATTAATTAATTAATATAATTATGTTACACGTGCAGTATCTAGTGGACGCGATCCGAAGCTTCCAAGACGTTTGAAAGCCTCTTAAATCTTAAAAACACAAATCAAAATTTGGATGCAAGCTGAATATGGGGGTTTATTATCCACATCTGGTAAATCGTGTCAATTTTCAGGAGAACTTATTGTGCTTTTAAAAAATGATTTTTACGAAAGCAAAAAATAGACCAAAAAGTAATAGATTATTGATTTCTTTAAACTTCCTTTTTATTTGGATTTTCAACTGTGGCCCGAGGCGCAAATGAAAAATTTTATTTTGACTCCTTAATGTTTAGCAAAAATTTTCCTTACGATCCCGGAAAATATGGTATGAACTGATCCGGGAAAAAGCAAAAGAGGAAGAAATTGGTTGACGACCTGAAGGAGGGAGAAAAAGGATATAAAAGAGTAAAGAGAAGAGCAGAGGATAGAGAGTCATGGAAAAAAGCCATTATAATGGGAGTGAACAATAAAGACCTCCTCAAAGTTCGTTTACTGATCTCAGAAACGTTAGGAGTCGCCAACAACATTGCTTTGCTATTGACAAAACGTCAAAATTCAGTACAAAAGGGAAAATAGTGATAGGTCTCTCGAAAAGTGTGACGCCTTTGAAATTATCATGTTAGGCTGCAAGAACTCAAAAGAGAGGGTTCTGTTCTTTGGCCGGAAAAGCGCTGCAGACAGTTCTGTTCATTACATTGCAATACACTGCTCTCTTTTTGCAATTACTAACAAAAGCCACACACACACACGATTAAAATTTAATTAAACTATGTAGAGCACAAATAAATACAGCTCGCGGCTGCAGTTCAAACGATAAAAATGCGCAGCAACATTTTATTTGCAATTTAAGAAAATAAATTCTGTAAATGACATAAAACGAAAATTAAATACCGGCAGGTATACAATTCGTGTATCGGATAAATGGTTAATTTGGATTTATTGGCAACAAGCAGCATTAAATTACAAAGTTGAACAACTTTAAAAGCGTAATTGTACATTTCGCCAGGAGAAAATGGAAAAAAGTTTCATTTCCACAAGTATTTGAGGTTTTAAGTTTTATTCAAGAAGTATACTCCATTATTGCAGTATAACTTTCTAATGAAATAATAACAGTATAAGAAATTATATCTTTTTTTCTTTTTTATAGTATGTATTGATTTCTGTGATTTAGTTTAAAATGTTATGACATTGAGGAGTGAAAATAATACAGTCATCCCTCGCGGGAAACTTTTCATTTCTTGCAATCTAAACTTTTCCAGTTGAAATTGAAGAGTTTTAGCCTTTAGAATAGATGTTGATTCAAGGGCACCACAGCCAAATTGGATACTTACTGATCTGCGGTAAGTTCCTAATTGGGCATTCACGTCAACTACCCCCACAATCCCATCCTTGTCTGGGTAAGTTTTTCCCACTGTTAGTAGAATAGAAAAACCAGGAAAAGCAAGATATTTCGAAAACTATCAGAGATAGCTATAGGACATTATTATCAAAAGTTGAAGGTTTTTGGAGGAGCTAAAAGATGACAGAAACATATACAGGGTGTTCCATTCCAAAAAGATTTGTTTAATATAAAATTTTATGACTTTGGATCTACAAAGAAAACACCCTGAAAATATTCAACCATATCATAATACAAAAGCACTCTATCGAAAAATCTTCTCTTCAAGGCAATCGTTGACACACCCTGTACAAGAAACGCTTTGACATAGAACATTTTTCCTTCTGTAGAAAACGCTTTGGGGTTTCCAACTTCACAAAGTTTCGAAATATTCACAAAGACACGTAACAGAAAAGTAAACGATCCGGATCTATTATTAATGCTCTATGGAACAAGGGCGGTAAAGTGAGAATTTTTGGAACGTCGAGATAAATGCAATCAAATCCACGTGCGCGCAATGATTCAACTTTATCGCGAATTGTAATATAATGCGCGAAAGGCCAAAAACAAATTTAGTAAAATATTTGGAAGCCCCCTTTTTCTCCATTGTTTGCTCATCTAACTCACGCGAGCTATAGAAATTTATCGCCGCTGTAATTCCAAGCGAAATTCTATAGCAGTGTGTCCGTTTTTTTGTATATCATTAACAGACAATGAAAATGTATAGGTGAAAACCATTACAAAGAATGGGTGTATTTTCACAATGATTAATGAAAACTTTTAGCTTCCTATTGAGTTTCAAAGTACGAAAAATGTTAATTGCGTACGATTTCGTTTCCGTTTTGAAAGTACGCCTCCGGCGCTAGGAAATTTTCCAATATCTCCCCCGGTCCAGTGAACGTTGAAGGCACTTACCTTGGGATTGACATCAAATATTGGAGTAGGCGTTTGTAATCTTCCGGTTTGGCGCGTTCTCGTCGTGGACTGGCCGGAAATGATAACAAAGGACCTCCTCGGCGATCCCGTCCACCCGTCAGCACGACGAGCCGTTCCTGTAGAAGAGGCATCAGCTCCAGTGCACGCTGTCCATCCATGCTTCCCGATCCTGGAAAAGAAAGCGCACGATTTAGTATAAATCAAGGTTTCCTTTAAATACTAATCGGGCTATTATCTCGTCAGGGAGAAATATTTACCACCCTTTTCTTTGACTTGCGGGTATATAAATACGAATGCCGGCATTTTCGTGTTGCACGCAACAAAGTTGTTGGAAGTTAAACGTAAAATCGTCGTCTGAACTAACGCGTTTTTTTTGCTCTTCGCTCATTCAAAAGTTAAAATAATCGAGGAAAACGTTATTAAGATTAAGATAATCTTATAATCAGAGAAAAAATTTAAAAAAGAAACACCGTCAAGTCATTGGCAGTACCTACCATTCGTCTGTAAAAAAAATCAGTTTCATTCATCCAACCGTAACCTAGTTATATCTGTAGAAGAATTGTTTTTTATAAAGTTATCAAATGTTCGTGATTTTTTTAAGAGCTATATTATCAACGTTTTCATTTGGTGTATAATTTATTTTCTCAAAAACCAACAATTGGTACCGCAAGAAGTACAGCAGCGCCTTAAGTCATATGACCTGAGGCGGTAGACGATCAATTTTAGAATACTCGGATAGGCCAAAGTAGAACTCCATCGGTTAAAATTTTGAATGGATTTCGAGCTAGCTCCCCTACAATGACTCACGGCCCTGAAAAGGAATCTTCCGAGCGATTCAAGTGAGGTCGATCGATCTAAAGCACGGACCCAAAAGATCACTGCAGTACTAGATAACGAAAGTCTGCAGGCTACCCTAGTAGTAGTATACCCTACAAGAATTGTTGTTACGGCTAGCATGGCAAATAAGTTGGGTAAAGAAATCATCCCGAAATAAAAAAAATTAACAAGTGGTAAGAATAACAATAAATGAATGAAACCGAAAACTATGCTGAATGGAAAATAAACGGAAAGGTAATTCTGGTTTCTTTCTGGAATATACAGAATAGCCACCGTCTGTTTTTTCAGTGATTAATAACAGGCTGAAAGGATTTAGTCGGTTTCTTCTTTGCCTGGATTTCGGTCCGCGGTCAAGAACGTCGACTTATTGTAAGATGGGCAAAGTGCGTCCACACAAGTAACGTCCCAAATGAACAGTTTCCCTTTTTTCCAAGGAATCAAGGCGCTGCCATCCACCCGATTGCCGTCATCTCGACAGATCTTCACCCTGGCCGCGATGGAGTACGAGTTGTGAGTATTCATATACTAAACGTGGTAATTTATAACGTTCACTTTTAAAACTGGGTTAAAACTACCAGTAACTTAGGTAATTACAAAGGTCCCACAAGCCAGCAGAGCCATTTTAGAAAAATGAAGGACGAAATACATCAGAATTATAGGCTGATTATAGGCCCTTTTGGACACTTGAACAAATTTTCAGGCGGCATCCTTTAAAGAAAAAAACTATGGCTCTGCTGGCTAAAGACGAAGCTAGCTGACCACTTGTGAGATTTGCTTCGAAGGCGAAAAATTCAGATCACAATATTATAGGCTATTTATAGGCTTTTTTAGACACTACAACAAATTTTCAGGCGGCATCCTTTAAACAAAAAAACTATGATTTTTAGCGCATTGAAAAAAATACGCTATTATATTCGTTATTGCTGGCAGGCCGGCTGTCCGCGTTAGATCTCCACAACTACAATAGCTAGAGACTTTAAATTTTCACTAAAAGCTTTCTGCTATAGTGTAGATGTGCAGGCACTAGTCTATTTTGAGTTAGATTACTTGTGAGATCGATAATTGAAGAAAATAATTTCGGTATGGGTTTCGGAGGTGCTATAATTTTACCGTTAGATAGCGCTACCAGTATAAAAACTTATTATTTACTTTGTGATTTGTTTTACAAAATGAAGACGTACCCTCAATTAAAATTAAATAAAATTAATTATTTAACGCAGCCAAAATTACTCGTGAAATCGATAATTTTAAACTTCGCTAATAAAATACTGACCTGCATTACCAAAAATGCGCTTTAATCATGCATATGCTGATTTACAACTTGTTTATTATTATTATTATCCCTCTCTTGTTTTGGGTCCAATTACAGAGTGACCCGCATAATGCTATTTAGAGGTGCCATTTTGCTGGCTAAAGAAGAAGCTAGCTGATCACATGTGCGATACGCTATGCGCATGCGCAAAATTTTTGCCTTGTAATTAATATCGATCCATTAACAGTGACTGTATAAAGACAGTGTGGTCATATGCTCTATATCCGCCATGTTTTTCCCATATTCTTCATTAAGCTGATCGGTTTAATTGAATTGGTAGATCTTGGCATTTTTCTATGGTTACAATATTATTGCCACAACTGTTTGTGACTTGATCACCTTGGATTCCAAGTTAATTTCCGCCAACCCGATTTATTTGGTTAAAATATGGCGGATATCCCACATACCAATAAAAAAACAACACCAAAGTATGACCAAACTGCCTCTATACAGTAGGTATACAGTCACTGTAGATCCATTATAAGGTCACTAAATATAAAAAGTACCGCAATCCATTGGGCCCGTGTTTTAGAGAGAGAACGCATGTTTTTTGCCCAAAAACTGCGGAAGTTACCAGATTCTAGTAACTTTAATGTTAGGGATTGTTCCACCTGTTTGGAGACATCTGTCAAGTAGGTATTTGAAATTTGAATTTTCTTTTACTAATAAATCAAATATATAGCACGTTGTTGTTTTTCAGGTTTTAAAAAAAGTAATGTTAAAAGTGTCTGAGTTGTCTATGCATCTTCTCTTGTATTATAGGAGAAGAAAAGTTGAAACGATATTCCTGAATTGGAAAGAAGTACAAAAAAAAATTTAAATTATTCGTCTCATTATATTGTTAACGAACCTCGAGATCGTTTATAATTTTGTATTGCTGCCTGCCTATGCGTCTGTCTGTCCGTCTGTCTGTCAGTGTGTACGATAACTTTGTGTAGAAATGTCCGATCGCCTTAAAAAATGATATACACATGTTCTTCAGGCTATAACAAAGTTCACAATTGTTTTTCGGCTACGTAGACCAACGGGCCAAATAGTTACAGACCAAAAACTGTGCAAACCTCCAAAAAGGGCTTCTAACTCTTGTTACAAAGAACATATGAATGTCCGGTTTTCTGTGTTAGTAAATATTCCTTAAACTTCAGACAACTATGCAGATGCAAACAAATACTGCGCATGCGCATAACAACTTTTGTATTTGCGCAATCCTAATTTTTTATCTGTTAATATATTTAAATGAAATTCTGTATCTAGGCACCTCCAATAAAAGTGAAACTAATGCCAAATCAAAAAATTTGTTTTGCGCATGCGCAGTCGGTTTTCTTTTATTTGTTAAGGTATTTAAATGAAATGTTGTATGCAGGCACCTCAAATAAAAGTAAAACTAATGCCATTTCAAAAAATTTGTGTTACAAGCTATGCTGATCAGGTGGGACAGAATCAACCCCTTAGGGCAGTGGTGCTCAAACGGTCGATTGCGACCGACCGGCCGATCTCGAGTACTTTTTGAGTCGATCTCGAGAAACATTTGCGATTTTCAGAGCAGATCTACACCTACCTTGACTTAAAGAAAATGGATTTTGCGGAAAACTAAATTCTGCCGTTTCCACTAATTAACTAATTCTACGTACAGTATTTTCATGTAATTCTGCAAATTGCGCCACGATACGACGTACCTATAAGTTAGAGTTTAAATAAATATATTAATTGGGCGAAAGCCCGTTGAGGACCCAGAACAACAGAGGGACATTAAATAGACAATAAATAAATAATTTTTATTTATCCACTACATCTCCGAGAGGGGAAAAATCAAACTGATCTGGATGATAGTTTTTTTTGTTTAAAGGATGCCGCCTGAAAATTTGTTCAAGTGTCCAAAAAGGGCCTATAATTAGCCTATAATTCTGATGTATTTCGTCCTTCATTTTTCTAAAATGGCTCTGCTGGCTTGTGGGACCTTAATTACAATGTGTTTAGAACTTCAACCCGGGCAATATGTTAAATATTTAGAAAAAGTATGCTTTGGTGTTTAGTATCGAATGTTTTCTAATTTAATAACAGAATTAAAAAAATGTTAGCTGGGTTTTATTCTCAATTTATTAACATAACCAATGTATCCATTACGCCCTTTGTGTTATAACGCTGTATTATTTTTGGCTTTTTTCCATCTTTATCAGAAATAGCATCTTGATGTTCGGATGATATGAGTATTAGGTACACATTTTTTAACTTGTGGAGCATACGAAACCATTGTAGTTTCTCTACATACAGCAAGTATATTTTTCTAGACCATTTATGATCTCTGTAACATTCCAACTTGCCAAGAAAATATTTTGTTTAGTAGTAATGGCTCTTTATCCTCAATGGTTGATTGTACTTGCTTTATTCCACCATTCTGTAAGATCCCCGTCGTAATTGTGTGTCCTTTAATCGTATCGCTTGAGTTATTTTGCACGCGAGTTCACTTACAACAAAATCTACTTACAAGCTTATCTCCTAACGTATTATAACTAACAGCGAGGTAACAGTTTTATTATTTTCCCCTCGTATACCCGTGCATACAATTCTTAAGAGTGGGCACATAAACCATTCTGAAATAAATTACTCCTACTTGAATAATGTACATGTAAGTTGGTAGGTAATATTGTGGCATACAATGAATGTGAGTGTCTAGAAGAGGTAACAATTCTCCCACTTGACTGCTTTGTGTAGAGCGTCGCGTTGTCATGTTCTACAAGATTCCTGATGAAATGCAAATGGACCTTGTCGAAACAGTTGAAGGGGCCCTAATCGAGGAAATTACTACAACTTGTCAAATGCAGTTAGTGGCACCGCTAATAACGAATGGTTGCAGTTTCCCTGACAGTCCCTGCGCTTGAGAGTCAATTGTATTCAAAAGAAATCCCTTTGTTCGACTCCTGCTATAAACTAAACGACATGCAAGAATTATAAATTTAATAAGTCAACCGCAGAGATTCAGATGCAGAATGTTCGATGGAGCGAGGCGCGTTATATTTACA